AAAAAAAAAAGAAATCACCCCTGTAGGCATCAGTCCTTGGGGTGCCACCTACTTCTCCCAGGGTTCTGAGGCCTTACCTTGATACAGGATGCCAGGATCAGAAAAGTTCAGGGAAACCAGGCTGCAGAAAGTGACCAGAAACAAGCAGCCAGTAACCATGGTAAAGCTCCATTCCCCATTCAGGGTAAGCAACCTGCATCCAAAACCAGAGCCACACTCAGTTCAACTCTGGGGCAACATGGAGCTCTCCTGAGGCCTGGGTCACCTGAGGTCAGACTTAAAGACCTTAAGGAGAGATCAAAATTGGTGCAACCACTGTGGAAAGCAGTATGGAGATTTCTCAGAAAACTTGGAATGGAACTACCATTTGACCCAGCTATTCCACTCCTTGGTTTATACCCAAAGGATTTAAAAGCAGCATACTATGGTGATGCAGCCACATCAATATTCATAGCAGCTCAATTCACAATAGCTAAACTATGAAACCAACCTATTTGGGAACATGGGATTTCTGGTCTATCTGTTTTAAAGATTTCTACCTATCAGCTGTGATTTGAGAATTCCCTCTGATTTTCATGTTTTTGTTTTGTTTGTATCTGTTACTGCCTCTTTTAAGAAATGGGCCAAGGTACATTGATCTTACCAGTAGTCTCTTGAGCAGAGAGATATTGGCTGCGTGGGTCTCTTATAGGTACAGCCTCTCTATGAAAAAGAGGGTTTACTCTAATACAATCTGGCTTATGAATGATTTTTTTTCTGGACTACTGTACAATCTTAATGTTGAAATTGGTCTGTCAGGGTTAAAGTATATGAAACAGATTCTGTGTGTACAGGCATTTATGCAGTTTCATTATAAGGGGTCTGAACCATGAGGAACAAATTTGAAGGTGCCAAAAGGTACTGCCTCTGGTGTGTAAGGATAGCAGGACACCAGAAGAAAGAGCTTAAAAAAGACTTAAATCCAGTGCTGGCACTCTCAGCACTGTTTTGCAACCTGGCCCCAGGCATCACTGTGGGTCAAGGACACTAGCCCTAAACTGGAAAAAAAAAATCCCAGAAAAGCTTTCTGGGCTGTAGAAAACTGGCCTCTGTCCTGCTTGTCAGCCCCTCTTGCCCCTGAGACTGCTGGCCACAAAGACTGTGGTAGTAGGTTCCAGCACTGTCAGTTTATGAGCTTGGGACAGGAATAATCTCCCCTTTTAAGATCTGACAGTACACCCCATTTGGCCAAGGGATATTCATCATTGGAGCAAAACAATTTTTGCTAAAACAGCATCCCATCAAACTAAATGCCTGGAAAAAATGGCAGAATAAATAACTGCACCCAGAAAAGGAAAAGACAGAGACTATGGCCAACCTGTGTTTTGTAGGCAGCCTCTGTAAAGGGATCTTCAAGGAAGCCTGAAGAGAAAGATGGAAAAGACCTCATCCATTGCATATCAATATGCCTACTATTTTTTTAAAGGCCCAAAAGGAGTCTCTGGATACAGTTGATTGTGGGGAACTCACTTAAAGTTGATGACATTGCAATGATGATAACAGAGATAGGTCAAGCTCAAAAATATCCTGTGCTCCCACTGCTTGATTGCAACCTAAGAGACAAAAGATTAAGACACAGTTTTTCTATATGCTGAATTGTCCAACCCTCTCCTGGGATGAAATTTGTTGTGTAAATTAAATGCACAGAAAACATTCATAAGGGCCGTTTCAGAATATGAATTTAAGAAAGGGTCTAAAACTAGAAAAGATACAAGAAAGTTATAGGTATGGAAATATATTTTAGTATGGAAAATTAGAAAGTAAAAAAGTGTTTCTGGAATTGAAAGTGTTTTGTCTGGTAAAGTCATATTCTTGTACTAAAGTCCAAGATGAAAGAGGACAAAACTAAGAATATAAAGAAGTTTTGAATGTTTAAGTAAGTCACAGAAGCTTTGTGGAAGGTAAATCTCAAAAAGTTTGTGTTTGTGGTTAAATTGGCTATAATTAGCACAGTCAGTTAAAGTTACCTGAATTTTAATGCACTGATAAAAACAAAATTTGAAACATTGATATGCTCTTATCTACCAAGATAATTTTCTTGTATTTGTTAGGTTTTATTACTTGGGGAAACTTAGTCTTAAAGGAATTAGGATTTGTACATGTTTTAAAGTCTTAAATGATTGCTTTGTAACTGGTTAAGCAAACAACAGTTATTTAGGTTATAACAATATAGTTGACATCCTAAATATATGCAACTAGGTATGTGTCTGCATTTGAGAACTATATTTGTCTAAGCCTTGTCTAAGTGTTATATAAAAGTCTATAAAATGAAAGTTTATGGGCAAGATAACTAATAAGTGCTCTCTTTCATACATTATATCTGAAATGGAAGAGCCACACTGTCATTTGAAGACCTGTCTTATATCTGTTTGTTTTGACTCAGTTAATGTCTGATTATTAACAGTTTCCTAAATGCATAAGAGATTAAAAGCTATCCTTTGATTATTTGTTAACCCATGCAGACCAGTGATTGTTGTTGCTGTACACTCTAGATTCTAAATTGTACTTTAAAAAAGTCATTCTTAGTTAAATGTAAAGCTTAGGGTAGCACTTTGCCAAGTTGATGTTCTCCACACTAAAATTATCTAAAAGTCTTGAATTTGTATAGAAATAACAAATATGGCTTGTTTTTATTAATTTCAGTTGATTGTTTTATAACTGGATAAAGTAACCTGTTGTCAATAAGTTATATGTATAATTTTTTTCTTACTCTTCACTCTGGAATTCAAATTTCAATGCATTTTTGGGAAGATAATGAAAGCCCAATCTGTTTAAAGATGACATTATAAAACATGGAAATGTTCTGCCACTTTTTCCATAAAAAGAAAGTTGAAATCTCTCTTAGCCTTTCTTTGATCATGTTTCAGATGTAATATTGTATTGTGTTATTTGTGAAGAGCCTACCTTACCTGAGATAAGGCTCTGCCTCTCACCTTACTCCATGTTAGAATGGTTCCAAAATAGGATAGATTTCAGCTCATTTAAAGTTGTGTTCAAAAGACTGATTTTTGTTGTAAAGATTACTGTGATCTGCCAGGCCCAATGGCGCATGCCAGTAATCCCAGTGGCTTGGGAGGCTGAGGCAATTGGATCATGAGTTCAAAGCCTGCTTCACCAAAAGCAAGGCACTAAGCAACTCAGTGAGACCTTGTCTCTAAATAAAATACAAAATAGGGCTGTGTATGTGGTTCAGTGGTCTAGAGTGCTTGAGTTCAGTCCCCGGTAATACCCACCTCAAAAAAAAAAGAAGGCAAGAAAGAGCCACAAATGTTCAAAAATGAAAATTATTAACAAGGTGATTCACTTAAACTCAATCACATTAATAAAGTATAAATGTACTAAACACTCCTCAATGGGGAAAGTCTTTTTTTAAAATGTTGCTCGAGCAACTGGGTATTTGTGTGGAGAAAATGAATTTCAAGCTCCTTCTCAACCAGAATTAAAATTTAATTTCAGATGGATCATAGACCTAAAGGTAAAAATTATAATCATAGCACTTCTAGAAGAAAATATAGAAGATCTACCAGACTTGAGAGTAGGTAAAGGTTTCTAGGCTGGGCACAAAAATAATGAAAGAAACATAAAAGAAAAAAAGTTGTAGGAATGTACAATGGTACAAACACCTTTGAAAACTGTTTGACATTTGGTAATACAGTTAAATACACATTTATCCACAGTCCAATAATTCCATTGCTAGGTATTTACACAAGGGACATGATAACATAAGTCCACAAAACAAGTGGAACAAAGACTTTCATAGCAATCTCATTCATAATACCCCTGAATTGGAAGCAGTCCAAATGGAATAATGAAGTGCTTGCTCATAAAATGAAATGATAGCCAACAATAAAAAAATAAATAAACTTCTGACATACAAAAGAAATAAATTATGTTAGATCAGAAAAGAAAGGCTTAAAATAATACATAGTGAATGAATACATTGGCATAAAATGTAAAAGAGAAAACTGTAGTGGTTGCTCTGCAGTGGGGTGAAGTTGAGTTAGGGATTGATTGGGAAACAGCATTTGGAAACTTTCTAGGGTGATGGAAATATTCTGGCAGCCATAAAGCAGAGAGACAGAGCTCCCTTAGTTCAAAAATATCATTTATAATAGCATCAAAAAGTAAAATACTTAGGAATAATTTGAAAATGTACAAGACAGTTATATTGAAAATTTATGAATATTGCTGAAAGATATTAAAGAAGTCCTGAATAAACAGATGACATTCATAAATTAGAAGATATAATATTTTTTAAAAAATCCTTTCCTCAGTTTTTACCTTTAATGCAATCCCAATCAAATGCCTAGAAGACTCTTTTGTAGAAATGTAAAAGCTGACTGCAAATTGTACACTAACTTGTAACATTCAAATCAACTCTGCAAACAAGAAGAAAGTTAGAGGACCTATATTACCTGACTTCAAGATTTACTAGAAGCCAAAATGATCAAGACAAGGTGGCACTGATATAAAGATAGACTTAAAAAGGGTTATGGAACAGAATTAGAAAATTCAGAAATAAAATATGTATAGCCCATTTAGTTTTTTCCTCATGTTCCTCTGCTTAGAATGTACTATGTGCTTCCAACCTCTGTCTTCCTGACTGCTGGTGGCCTTTCCAGACTCTGGTTCTAGGAGCAGCAGCAAAGTCCTCTTCATCATGTCCTCTACTCTGTTTTCAATCATCATTTAGAACTAAGTGGTGATCTCCTGACATTTCCCAATTACTGGGCACCTATTGCCTGCTGTTTCCATTATGTTTATACCGCTTCAGTGACGCTTCATAAAACTTCTACAATGTGGACATTCTTACCATCTCCTTGCCACTTCTAAATGAGGCTCAGAGAGAAGAGTAACCTCACTAGTGGGAGGTAGAGCTAGGAAGGGAACTGAGATATGTAAGACTCCAAACTGATGCAAATATCCCTCTCAGAGCTACAGTTTCCAACTCCAAACCATTTAACTCTCAACTCCTGAATCTCTTTACCAAAGAACTCCAGCTTCTACACTTTCCTTTAGGATTGGGAATTCACTGTTTCCTGAAGCAGCCAGCTCTCTCTCTGATTTTTTCTGATCCTTTGCTGAAATCTCTCTCCCTGACTCCTTCTACTGCTCTTCATTCTGTCTTCCAAGTCTTTCTAGTTAGGACTGCTTTCTCTGCCCCGGGGACTTCTCTTCTCCAAGCTAATAGCCTCAGCATGTTTAAATAATCAATTCACTTTTAGAAAAGAGTGACAATTACCTTTTCTATTTATAGATGAGGAAATGGAGATTCAGAAAAAGCAAAACACATTCCTGGTAAAGGAAACATCCTGGGCAATGGCAGGTAGACTGGGCAAGAGTCTGGAGCACCTGAGAAACAATGGGCAGGATGGAGAAGGCTGGTATGCTAGTTATGGGGCAGAGGTTGGGGAACCCTGGGTTTGAAAACATGAATCTCCTGAAGATTCTGGGTCTTCATCAAGACTTTGTAATACTAGCTATAGAGGCAACCCTGCCCTTTATCCTTCTGATTCATACCTGGCCCACCTGGTGGGAGGTCACACTGGGGTTGGCATCTGTGGGAATACTGCTATCACCTAAAAAGTCTGTGAATACTCAGGCTCACCAGCAGTGGAAAAGGAGAGCTGCACTTGGCTAAGTGTCAGTCTGAACATGAGCATTTTCTGTGTTTCTATCAGTAAAACTCCACTTGCATGAGCCCAAGACCTCAGCTCTGAAGCTTTCTCCAGTGATTGCAGTCTCAGCCTCCACTGAGAGTGTGAAGGAGGCCCCAGTCACCAACCTAACTCCATCTAGATTCCATCTTGCCTCTCAGACTTGTTTTGTCACTTCATCATGTTCTCCACTCTGTTTTCAATCATCATTTAAAACTAGAGCTCCTGGAGAGGGGGATCTCAATTCAGGACATAGATTTATGTAGGAGAGCAGATATACATCCAAGGGCAGGCTATCTCAAGGGAGAAACATCTTTGGGGTAAAGTTAGAAATACACATTCAAGGGAGAATGGAGCTTATCTTGAGAGTGAGAAGCTCTGGGGGGTAAATCAAGGAATACACATTCAAGGGAGAATGTGGGCTATCTCTCAAGGTAGAGACAGCAACCCCGGTAGGTGGTGCTAATGTGCATAGAGGGACAATAGTTAGGGGCTGGACTAGAGTGAACCCAGGGCAGAGCAATTTCAATTTCAATCTAGTTTTCCCTAGGCTTGTGCATTGGCTCCAAGTTCCTTTTTGCAAGCAAGGACATGGGCCAAGGGCAGGAAATGGAGAGCCAGGAAAAAACAAAACACATTCCTGGTAAAGAAAACAGCCTGGGCGATGGCAGGTAGGCTGGTGCTAAGGACAGGTACTGGGTTGCTCATCAATGTTTGTTTTCTACTTTAAAGTTTCATAGGAATTTCCTGAATTCCAATGGCTCAGAGGTACTTTTCTTTTTCTTTCTCTCTTTTTTTATAGTAGATGGACACAATACCTTTATTTTATTTTTATGTGGTGCTGAGGATAGAACCCAGTGCCTCACATGTGCTAAGGTGAGTGCTCTACCAACTGAGCTACCACCCCAGCTCTCAGAAGAGCTTTTCTTTTATTTCAGTTTTATCTATTTTTTTCCTCCTTCTAAGTTCTTCTAAGCCATTTCCATCTGTAATCACCTTAGATTTCAGGAATAACAGGTCTGGCAGAGAAAACTTGTGAAAAGAATCAACACTGTGCTTAAGGCAACAGCAAATTTCCTATGCCAAGAAGGTCCTGCCTGATCAGTTCTGAGAGAATGATGGAACAGGCCACACCTGAGCAAGATCACCTGGTTTGGCAAGTGTGAAAAAGCATCCAGCTATGCAAACCCCCAACTCTTGACCTTACTTTTCATTCTGTTAAACCTCAAGTTCATTGTCAGCCCCTGGAAGACAAGGCTAAGGGCACGAATCCCCTTGTGTATCTGGTGTTGCTACACTTATTTTTCACCATTACTTTCCCATTGGTTTTGGGTGAACAAGTGTCCAGACCTGATGTGTTTTGGGGGAACAAGTGTCCAGACTTAGCCTGGGGTTTTAAACCACAAGGCAAAGAAAAGACCACCCATTCCAATTTTAAATCAAATTAAAGCAAGCTTCTGATTCTGGCCAGGACTGTCTCTCCAGAAACCCTTGGGCCAGAAGAGCACAGCACCTCAGCCCTCTAGAATATTTTATAGCACAAAAAGTTGCAAAAGGGGGGTGTCTTGAGAACTTACAGATAAGAGGATTTTGACAAGCATAAAAAAGGCAGATAGTAGGTTAATGATCTAAATGGTTCAACATTTCAAGTTAAGGAGTAAATTTAGATCCCAACACCAGAATTTATGAGGTGCTGCTGAAGTTTCAGAGAGGGTTGTTATCTGGTCAGGGAAAGCCAGGCATGGATGAGTTCAAGGCTCGGGCAGGCATTCCAAGCAAGTTTAGAAATCGCAGTAATTTATAATAAAACAGAAATTAACGTTTCATGACTTTGTGACGAGATGGCTCCCAATCTTAAGATGGAATTAGTCTGGGTTCATCAGGGGCCCTGGTAAAAAGTCCACCAAGAATCAAATCTGGACTCTGAGTGATAATGATGTGTCGCTGTGGGTTTTTCAGGTGTAATATGTGTTCCACTTTGGTTCAGGATGTTGATAACTATAAAGCAGAAAAGGGCATGAGGCCAGGAACCACGGAACAAGGATAAGGCACCAAAAGGAGTTTTATTGGGAAGGTGGGGGCGCTCTGGGGCAAAAGAGTGAGGGCCAGGGAAATTGTGTGTGCTGGAGAGGAGAACAATACCTATATAGGTCACTAGAGGCAGGAGGGCTTAGGTCAACTAAATTGTTATTACTGTTAGCAGGTTGGCCTAGCGGAGTTTAGGGGCTGTGCTTAAGGGCTGGGTCTCTTCAGATAGATGAAAAGTGTCACCATGGGAGGGGGTAGGGGAAGTAGAAGGGAAAGGACAATAATGAAAGAGGGAGTACTTATGTGTGTTGGGGGGAAGGGGCTTATGGGACATTTATGTTTCTTCTGCTTAGTTTAGTTTAGAACCCTAAAACTGAAGCCATATTTAAAGATAGGTGGTTAGTGTAGCTAGGTAAATGGGATCTGATATCGAGTTTAACAGAGAAAAATGAAGTCTGATCTGTGTTCAGGAAATCAGAAACTAGACCTGGGAGATTGAAATATTAATGTTCCCAAGACTCTGGCCATCCTAAAGAACCGTTAATTAAAAAATATAATAATAATAATAATAATAATAATAATAAAAAGAACTGTTAAATGAAGCAGATAGGGAGGCGCTAATAATTTACCCTGGGCCCTTCCTGCCTAGATTATTCCCCACCCGCCTCCGATGGGCCTACCTATTTTTCACCTTTTGGCCTTCCTACTGGCATCCTCCAGCACATGTAGGATAAAGGGAAATAAATAAGATAAAGGACAGAAATGGAGCAGAACAAAAGAAAACCTTAGGTATAAAAAGGACGAGACTTCCCCCATCCCAGGATTCCACCTTTGGGATCCCCTTCTTCCTGGGGCCCTGGGAGTCTTTTCTGCTATCCTTTAATAAAACTTTTTACTTTCCATTCTTCACTTGCCTTGACTTGCTTCTCTGGTATTATATTTCAGCATTCGGGGAAGCAAGGAGTCGGCAAGGTAACTGGCGGTGAATGCCTATAATTCCAGTGACTTGGGAAGCTGAGACAGGAGGATAGCAAGTTTGAGGCCAATATTGGCAATTTTAGTGAGACTCTGGTTGAAAAGAAAAAATAAAATGTTGGAGATGTAGCTTAGTGGTAGAGTGGCCCTGGGGTCTATTCCCAGCATCACAAAAAAAGGGCTGAGGATGCAGCTCTGTGGTGGAGTACTTACCAAAGTAACATACACACAGCTATTACCATAATGCCAAAATTTCCTTAGTTTGAGAGACTACCCAGACTTAGTTTGGGTTGCTTAGTTGTAATTCTAAATTGGAATGCGGATGGACTGTGCCTACCCAGGTAATCAGGTGAGCCAGGGTGATACAGCTGGCCAGTTATCGGTGATGAGTTCTGCTCTCTCAAGTGTTGAAGTATAACATTAGAGAAGCACGTTGAGGCGAGCATAAAAAGCAGGGTTCATTTAAAAAGGGGTAACATAGACTTTTCCCAGGAGGGAGAAAGGGAGCTGTAGCGGGTACCCTGGTGTCCCAAGAATTGAGGTGTTCTGCCATTTTTATATGTCCTAGGCTTCCTTTGTTCTCCTGCCCTCTTCCCCTTATGTCTCTCCTTCCTGTGTGACTAGGCCCAGGCGATGTCCAGTGGGATGGCCAAAAGGTGGGAAACAGGTGGGCTGAAGGGGTAAAGACAGGATGGAGCAGCCCTGGACACATTAATCAACAACTTTTACAACTCAGTGCAGGGAGGGGCAATTCTGGGACAGGTTACCTTAGGAACAGGTTGGAACCAGAGGCAGGTTATATTGATAAGAGTGGAGGAAGGGCTCTGAAGGAATTAACATTTCAGTCTCTCAGGGGACAGTCTCCAACTTCCTGGACTCAACTCAAATTGGCCTCCTAGTTCTGACCTGACTCAATTTACCTATCTATACTGACTGCCTGTCTAATTCTGGCTTCAAGGGCACTGTCTTCAGGGCTCTGGGGATCCTGGGGGAGGAAAGGGCACAGTCTTTGTGACTTGGCCGCAT